AGAAGCTGAGGGAGGCTCCCTTCCCAGCCCCAGGACACACTGTGGAGATTAAGAGCTTCATTCCAGAGTCGGGCACTGAGGTCAGACAAACACCCCCCCTCCCCTTTTTACCCTTTTTTTGCACCCGAGTGAAAGGTGAAAAAAAAACGTATGTACATATTAACGTATAAAATGTGCCTTTTTGACCTGTATATTATATTACAATTGGTAATGGTGATTAAGTAATTATTCCAAGGCTATTACCTATTATATTAATAAGGGAATACAGATATTATAAAAGAAGTTCATTTCCATAAAACCTATACATTCAAAACAGAATCTAACGTGATACGGCCAGAAAATAGGATTTCGAACTGAAGTTCCCCAACGCCCCCTTGATCTGATGATCCACTCCGTTAATGAAAGATAAAGATAAAAGCTTCAGACATTCGCGTGTGGGGTATTTCCTGACATATTTGATGTGGTAGAACAAAATCTCTTCAGCTTGTGTTACTACAGACCTTATTTCAGACATCCATCCAAAAACACGTAAAAGAAAACAGTGACTTTGAGACGAGGGAACAGGAAGTGGTAAAATGCTGACTCATTTCTGGGTTTTATTAGTCCTTCCTGCAGCACAGGATCAATACTAGTGTCCTGGTTAGTGCATGCATACATCTGTGATTGAAAAACAGCGACCTGTTATTTTTCTCTCCACCCGACCTCACACTCTGTGACGTCAACTGCTTAATCAACACGCTCAGGTGTTCGGCGGTGCTCAGTAACCGAGGTGAGGTGTGCACATGCACCAGTGTCAGGTTTCTTTGGCAGTACTCCACCTAGCATATACAGGCTCTCATGAACGGGGTTTAAGAGCTTATCTGAGTTTCTGAAATTGGTCTTTAAATGTTGAAATACATAAACGGTAGTATCTTTGTTATGATCATGTTTTTCTTTAAAAAATAGATCTTAAACAGTATATGAATGTTCATGTAAACAGACTCAATTTCTCTGAAAATTGTAAAAATGTAGTTAAAATGTGAACATGCTCTTTAAAAGTGGCGTAGGGAGACGCGTGGTGCAGTGGGTTGAGCGTTGGTGTTGGGATCAGGGGGTCACAGGTTCAAACCCCACTGCAGTCAGCATGTCGTTGTATCCCTGAGACACTTCACCCCAAATTGCTCCTGTGGGGATTGCCCACAGTATTGAGTATGTAAGTCGCTTTGGATAAAAGCGTCTAACAAGTGACATGTAATGTAATATAATGTAATGTAATGTGAAAATGTAGTGGTGAGATCCTCCATGTGGATGTGTTTCTGTGGTGGTGTCTGGACCTGTCCTGCATTACCTAACCTTTAGCTCAGAGCTGAAACCTCACACCTCCCCCATCGGGCCGCATTCCATCATCTCGAGCTGTCACTGATGCTGCTGTGTTTTCGTTGGGCGTCCATCAGGCCGGAGGAAGGACACACTCTGGCTGTCTTCATGAAGGCATTCATATTATGATAATTATGAAAAGCGATAGCTGCATTTTTACCCTTTGTCAGGGCTAAGTGAGCACCCTCAGAGTTGGAGGTGGTGGGTGATGTTTGCATGTGTGTGACAGATGTGACTCTCCCCCAGATCATCAGTCTGACACGCCCGCTGGACTCCTGGCTGGAGCACGTCAACTTCGCCACGCTCTTCGACTGCCTCACAGATGAGGAGGTGCTGCTGGTGTTCGCTGCCGCCGTCCTAGAGAGACGGATTGTTTTCATCGCTGAGGAACTGGGGTACTATACACTCATAGATGTAGATTCCACGAGGACATTATCAATTCATCAATCATAGTGTATGTACCGAAAGTCCAGCTCTCGAGACACTTTAGACGCAGGACTGGAGTACAAGCTGAGAGACGAATTGTACAACCAGATTGTAGTCTGTTTACCTAAATCATGAAAAACAAACAAAGCCCTCATGCTCAGTCCCCATTCAGAAGTCTGGGGTTTGAATCTGGACTGATAACTTGTTTCTATCTTTAAACACTGTCTCTTAAATTAAGGAACTGATACTGCCTGAAAATATATTTAAAAAAAAGTGGAACAAAGCTTGTCAAGCAATAGCCAATGTGTTCCCAGAATGCATTTGCTCTCCACAAAGACTCTTTACCTGCATTCAACCAAAACCCAATAGAACATGATTGGTCAATAATTACTCAGACTACACACGGACACCAGAATGTTGCATACAGATATCTGTTTACAGAGATTATGATGACAGTCACTTAAAAAATTGGCAAAACAAATGTACTATAGAGGCAATCCAAACTCCAAACACGAAGCCTGCCTTGAGTCTCCAGTTATGATGCTATATTGCAGTCCAAACAAAAGAGAAGAGAATCCCGTTTATTAAATAAGCAACGTTTAATTTGAATGCAAACTATCTCATATACAACAGCCCCAATGGCTGGCTATAACTACAAAATAAAATGAAATGCTTCAACAAAATGACTGATATACTAAGAAAAAGTGTGGTTCGAAAAACTGTGTGTAACCGCTCAACCGGGAGCTCACCTGAGCTCTGTGTTCATGCCCTTATAAGGATACATGAGGAAAAGGAGTATAGCTCTGGCCTCTCCATATTGACCTCTCATAACAAAATATAATAATAAATCCATTTACTTAACACAAAGCATAAAAAGGTAGTTCATTGATTATAAAACGGAGTAAAAAAATACACAATTCATCATGTTTTAAATTAGATATTTCAAATAAGAAATGGAGGCTGCTACAATTTATATTGTATTAAATATCAGTTATGTCACAAAGTAAACCAACCCCTGTCAATATTCATTAGCATATAACAGAAACGTGTCTGTATCGGGGCGGCAGGAGCAGTCTTTAGGGACTTGTCTTGGGAACCGAGGGGCCACCGGTTCAATTTGCCATTGGACCAAAACACAGAATGTGGACTGGTACTAACCAGGTGCCCTTGAGAAAGGCACTGAACCCCCAACTGCTCCTGAGCGCCAGCCGGGCAGCCCCTTCCCTCTGACACCTCTCCATTAGTGCATGTCCATAGGTAAAAAATGCTCCACAAAGAGTTGAGAGTTTTGAAAGGTGATTTTCTGATATGGCATGAAAAGCCCCCCTCATGTTATTGACTGAATGTATGATCTGATCTCTCTGCAGCACATTATCACAAATCATACATGCTGTGGCAGCCCTCCTGTACCCCTTCACCTGGCAGCACACCATGATCTCCATTGTTCCTGAGATCCTGATCGACGTGGTGATGGCCCCCACCCCCTACCTGCTGGGAGTCCAGAAGCATCTGCTGGACCTGGTAACCGACCAGACTGATGTGAGTCCACATGGAGAAGAAACGTTTTTAATAATCAAAGTGTTACTTCAATTGCAAAAAGATTCATTCTTATTATTTCTGTGACAGCTGCTGGTGGTCGACTTGTCTGACAATAAAAAGGAAACCTTCATTGCTTCAGTAAGCGTCTACAAAATCAGCTTTTAGTGGCATTTCTTTGCAAATTCACAAGAAACAACCATTTAGTAAAAGTTAAAACATTTGTGTATTACCTTCCTTTTCCAGGTTGGTGATGAAAGCTCTATTCTGCCCCCGAAGCTCAAAAGTGAAATCCTAGAGGCTCTTAGTGCCAGACAAAAAGCATCAAGTGAGTGACAGAAATCAAACACAGGTGTATCACTTAGAAACAGAGTTATGGCTCCATCATCCCCAAATGTTTTTTGTGCTTTGCTTCAGCGGTGGAGGAGTTGAATCGGGTGGTGTCGGAAGCCTTCCTCCTCTTCTTTGTGAAAACAGTGGGCCACTTCAGATCCTACGTGAAACACAGTCGCGGCGGGGGGCCAGGGGTGTTTGAAAAGAGAAGCTTCTACAAGGCCATCGATTCCAAAACTACACGACACTTCGTCAAGTTGTTCCTCCAGACGCAGATGTTCGACCTGTTCATCCAGGAGGTGGAGCAGCAGCAGCCTGGACCGCAGCAAGGTGACACACACACACACACACACACACACACACACACACACACACACACACACACACACACACACACACACACACACACACACACACGTGAATCACATATTTCTGCTGGGAGCAGGCGTAAGCCTCACTGCATCTCTTGCAGCCCAGTTTCATCCACAATCAGTCCAATAGTTATGTATCAGACCAGTAAAAAAGTGTTGAACAATAATGTAATCAGTAACCTAATCAAAACAGGGGTATTGTAACCTGATTACTTTATTTTTCGATATCATCAATATCAGATGCAATGCAAATAAATACAAGAAAAAGAATAAGATGTTTTTATACTGAAGTGTAGTATTATGTAAGACAGAACAATTTGACCTTAGAAAAGAAGACATCAAGATATTTAGGATCAAAAATCATTTTATTGATAGGAAAAGCTGACTTTCATGAAGCATATTCAGAAAGTGAAACCATAAAGCAGATGTAGGCGTATAGATTCACACTTAAAGTATTAGCCTACAGAACATTACAGCTCACAGAGAAGAGATAACATCTGATCCTTTACAACAGACACTATATGTGACCCGCTCTATCGAAATCAGTCAGAAGTCGCAACAGCTCATTTCAAAATAAACGTGGATTTGCGTAAAAAATAGTTTTCCGGGGTTCGGGTGTTTTGTTGATTTTAAATAAACAAAGTCTTGGCTTTCAGAATATGAAGCTTTTATTTCCAAAATCACACGATAAATACGTTTTTTAAGCTTGTAAAGGGGAAGATGACACTCTCACCTGCACTCTCTGGTTCCTCAGCGCCGCTCCCCCTCCCTCCCACCCGCTGAAATTATGAATGCAAGGCGTATAGTAATCATTAGGTAACACACGGCAGGGTCCGTTACAGTTTGTTTTCATCTGATTTCAATTAAACAAATTCAGATGATAAATACAACTTTGAAGCTTGTAACGGCATAATTACAAGCGGAGAACGGAGTAACTTAACGTCACAGCAGGCATAACAACAGCCGGTGTTTCTCGTGAGGATTTTCCACGGGAAACAAACACAATACATACAAACGCAAAATTACAAAAACACACAAACACACACACACACACTCGCGAGCTTCTCCCAGACCAGTAATCCAAACGAAAATATTTTCCCTCCGTACTACATTGATCATTTGCTCCGCTAATAATCAATCAGATCAATGGATTCCAGAGCAGAGGAAACTTTGAAGGCCTTTTTCTCAAAATGATGACTCGGTGACAGTCATTATATAATGTGACATATTTTGCTTAATATTTGGATTACAAAAACAATCCTGATATCATTAGAAATCTAGGAATCTCCTCTTTCCAGCAGTGTATACAACTCAAAATGTGTCTTCGGGTCAATGCGACTGATTTCGATAGAGCAGGTCACAAATGATCTTTTTAGGTTTTACTAACATTGTAATCCTGCTAGTAATCCTCAATTCTTTGAAATGCAACAGTAATCGGATTACATCTTTAGCGAATGCAGTTAACTTTGTTTTACCTTATTATGTAATACCGTTACATGTTGTCTATAACTCCCTAGGGCCTTCCACATTTGAGTGTGCTAGTGGTGTAGACTATTGTCCCACAATGCCATGCACAAAGAGAGTTCTGCTCACATCTGGAAAACAAATGACGGCAAAACAGCTTGTAAAGAAGACATTTTGCTGTCTCTCTGTGAGGGGACCTTCCAAAGTCAACGTTGTGATTGACACACAACTTGGGTGGGGCCATATGACGGAATAAGGGCTGCCTCAATTTTTTTTTATGAAGCCGGTCTAAGTCTTCAGGAGTTTGGAAATCCTACATGGTTCTGCAATGAGGTTGCACCACACACAAGAATACATGTCACAGTTGTTCTCCTCTGTAATCTCAAAAACACTGCAGGATTAGCAACAATAAGGTGCATCACACACTATCAGCTACATCAAATCCACTCCACTTTATCGTTGATTGTATATAGTGAATTACATTTCCGGTACACTCTCTTCTACTCATAACATGCACATAATTGACCATCATGTTACTGAGTCGTCTAGCTGAAATGTATTTACAGTGCACTAACTCTCCCTCCTGTCATTTGTCCTTTAGGAATATTTAACAAAAAGATCCTCGAATACCAGGAGAAGAAGAAAAAGGAGAAGGCAAAGAAACACTAGCTCTGGGCGGGGGGGGCCGGGTGTACATAGTGGAGTTGATAGGAAATGTCAGATGTGAAAGTTGCACTGTGTGTTTTATGTCCTGTGTCAGTGTGGTTTTAAACAATGTGTGAATTACTGTGTGGCTATGTTGCTGCTATCTGTGAAACACTGGCAGAATGAGAGACTGCAGTTCCTTGTGTTCTCAGCCTGTGGCCGCAGTCCGACGCTGAACAGCAGGAAATCATTTCAAATAAAGACTCGTTTTTTAAGTCCACGCATCTAAAGTCTCAATTTTTGGCCTCAATGACTAGAAGAAGGTTGTGTTTGTTGAACACTTCTTTATTTCTGACTGCGGCATAATTAAACATCCTTACTTTCTATGAACAGAAATGCAGAAATTGATCAGAGCAGTCCATTCCAGTTCTCTTACTAAACATATCTAAACAGTGTCTATAATATATGCATTTTAATTGGGTATACATGACAAAATACAATACAATGCAAACAATCAAGAACAAAATGTAGTTATTAAGGTGTCTCTATGCAGGCTTAGTTTCTCATTCTTAATAATAACTGGGGCCTCCCTCAATAAATTAATAAGTTACTGATTGAAAAATATTTCAGAAACATTTTCCAAGAGAAACATGACAAAACAGAAGCTCTTTGTAAGCTTTGTTTTTGAAAGTTGCTTTATGAATGTGTGTCATTTATTATGAATGCTTTTATGTTATCATTATTATCATCATACAACTGCTACGCCTGTTGCCATAGCCTGCAGTTTGGCCCATGTAGCATCCTGCGTTGGTGCTATAGGGTTATGTACACTGTATTTTTTTCCTATAGATTTTGTACAGTAAACTATTAAAAACAAATATATCATAAAACATGGAATATATTTTTTGATGAATTAGAACAGTTATTACCTATGATGCTTCAACATCTTCTCAAAAAAGAAACACTCATATTTGCTGCACAGTTGGTTTTGGGAGAAATGAAGGAGGGAATAAATAAGTGGAGGTTATCATGAGTGGGAGTAATCTTCACATTCACATAGGCAGTGTTGTATTGTAACCTACATTAACAAAAGTAATAAAGTATTTTCAAATTCTACTACTGTATTCCTTTACTCCACTACATTTTGTTGGCAAATGTTGTACTCTTGACTCCAATACATTTATTTTAAATATTAAGTTACTATTTGCTAGTTTCTTTGCTGATTTAGGTTCAAATATAAATCGAGACTTACGTTTACATACACTATTATTGTTAAATAACTTAAATAAATATCTTGTGTTTATATGTTCCTCTCATCATAATATCTTACTGAGTATTTTTCCTTTGGTACTTGAAGTATATGGTGATACTTTTGAAGTACACATTTGAATGCAGGATTTTCACTTGTATCAGAGTATTTTTACACTGTAGTATTGCTACTTTTCCTCAAGTAAATAATCTGTGTACTGTACTTCTTGCAAGTTCTTGGACCTCTGATTATAGGGAAGAATTCTGCCGTTTTAAGTGAAAAATGTTAGTTACCACAAATCTTGGGGCATGTGTCTCAGGAAATACTTATCATAGGGAAATGATATGATGGAAGAAATAAAAAGGTTAGGTTTAAAAGGAGAACAGGACTGATGAGGAAACTGATATACCGCACACTGAGGAGTCAACCAACTGCTGAAGATGGCAGTAACGTAACACTAATGCAAGCTGCTGTTCTTATAGAGAACCGCAGTGACGAGTCGTAAAACCCGGAAGTAAACTTCTTCCGGTTCCTTTGTCAAAATAGCTCGAAATAAGGTCTGTGGTTGACACACATTTAAGAGAGGGATCACGTTTTGTTCAGCCGGATAATCTCCACATGTCAACCCTACTTTTATAATTTTTGAATGATAAATCTAGTCGCCAGAAGCAAAATGCTAACGTTATGCTATAAACGAACTACTAGCCAGCACAGCAGCAGGGTCGCACGACTTTAACGTCACGCCAACTTAAGATCGTTTCAACTGACTTGCACTGAAACTGCACTTTGAACACTTAATTTTTGACAATAAAGCTGACTTTGACTCGCGCGCTTGCATATTTTAACAAAGCTTTTCATTTTAGCCACACTGAATTTAACTAGAAGTCATGGCTGTGTCAATTACCAGTCTGATATCGTTTTACAAAGATGACAAGAAGAGTGTAGATAGGAGAGAACCACTACAAGTCAGGACACGTAAAACAGTGCAGCCTAGATGAAGGTGTGCTTACCGGTGTTGTCAGGGCTAGCATGAGGGACAAGGTTTATAGTGTCGGTGAGTAATGATAGCAAGAGTACCGTTAACCTAGAGTTAATTTATTCACATTAATTCCCATCAACAAATCCATTTTATGTGTCACATGGAATCTTTATTAGGCAAGGCAAGGCAAGTTTATTTATATAGCAGTTTTAAACACAATGCAATTCAAAGTGCTTTACAAAAAATGAAAGACATTAAGAAAATTAAATAATCATTAAAAGAAAAAATACATGGATAAAAGTTACAGTGCAGTCTAAGATATGAATAGTTCAATTAAAAGCAGCGACAAAAAGAAAAGTCCTCAGCCTGGTTTGGGCTAGTGAATTAATTTCAGTTTTCCGCACTCTCGCGGGAGTGTCATTATTGTCTCACTACTATCACTACTACTATTACTATTACTACTACTATTACTATCACTACTGTCATTATTAGGGTGTAATTTGTTATATACTGTTGGAATGGGTAAGCAGGCCAATTATTTTTGGATATTTGTGGAGTTAGGTGGTCCATGAGTGTTTTTTATTGGTTAAGTGGTCCTTGGTAAGGGGGAGCCTCGTTGCGGGGAAATTATACAGATGGCTAGTCCGCCCCTAAAAATATCTATGCAAACGTTATTATTAATAATAATTAAAAAAAAAAAAATTATTAAAAAAATTTATCAATTATTTTTTATAATTTTTATTTTTTTTATTTTCCATTTTTATTTTGTAATCATCTCGCGACCCCCACTCGGGGTCTCGCAACCCCCACTTTGAGAACCCCTGCTCTGCATCAGGTAAAGCAAATGTACTGTCCCTGTGTTCACCTAAAGCCAATTCAGACACCATGTCACAATTCTGTCTGATAAATGCTAAAGACCTGGAAGACATTATCCAACATCTGAAATCCTCCTCCTGTAGCCTCGACATCATCCCGACAGGATTTTTCAAAACTGTTTTTCATTGCTTGGCCTCAGATATTACACATAATAAACAAGTCTCTTCAATCAGGTGTATTTCCCCAGGCCCTGAAAACTGCAATAATTAAATCGCTCCTAAAAAAGCATAACCTGGACAAAACCATAATGAATAATTACAGGCCAATATCAAACCTTCCCTTTTTAAGCAAATTGATTGAAAAAGCAGTTTTTCAACAGTTCAGTTATTTCATGTTTTTAACTGACGGTTTTGATTTGTTTCAGTCGGGCTTTCGACCTAACCACAGCACTGAAACTACACTCGTAAAGGTCTTAAATGACATCCATTTGAACACAGACAGTGGCAGAATATCAGTGTTAGTATTATTAGATGTCAGCGCTGCCTTTGATACCGTTGACCACAACATATTGCTAGACCGTCTTGAAAACTGGGTGGGAGTTTCAGCAACAGCTCTAAACTGGTTTAGCTCCTACTTGAAGGACAGAACAAACTTTGTCTCAATAGGCAATTACAAATCAATCCTGATAAATATGCCATGCAGGGTTCCTCAAGGCTCCATCTTAGGATATTTGCTTTTTAATATTTATATGCTACCTCTGGCTGAAATTATTAAAAAGAGCGATCTAAGCTATCACATCTATGCAGACGACACCCAGATTTATTTTCAAATTACACCGGGAGGCTACTCTCCGATTAGAACACTGAGCAAGTGCATTGAGCACATCACTGACTGGATGACTCAGAACATTCTCCAATTGAACAAACAAAAAACTGAAATCATTATTTTTGGAGCAAAGAAGGACCGATTAAAAGTAATCACAGAGCTTCAGTCGGCAGACTACAAAGTAACTCACAAAGCAAGGAATCTAGGTGTAGTGATGGACTCAGACCTGAATTTTAACAGTCACATTACAACAGTTATTAGGTCTGCATACTACCACCTGAAGAATTATCAAGGATTAAAAAACTAATGTCGCAACAGGACTTCGAAAAACTTGTCCTTGCTTTTATTTTGAGTAGACTCGACTACTGCAATAGTGTATTCACAGGGCTCACTAAAAAATCTATCAGAAAGCTGCAGCTGATTCAGAACGCTGCTGCTCGAGTACTCACTGACACTAGAAAAGTGGATCACATCACTCCGGTTCTGAGATCATTACACTGGCTTCCAGTCTGCCAAAGAATTGATTTTTAAAATACTACTGCTAGTTTTTAAATCACTAAATGGCTTAGGACCGAGGTATATAAACGACCTACTCCATCACTATGAAGCATCCAGGAGTCTCAGGTCTTCTAGGTCGGGTCTGCTTT